ATTTACTCCATAGTAATAACATAAGCATCTTAAAACAATAAAATTTCTTTTAAGCATTGCCTTAACTGAATCCCACAATTTTGATGTGGTATGTTTTCATTATCATTCAGTTCAAAATATTTTCCAGCTTCCTCTTTCTTTTTTGGCCTATGGGTTATTTAGAAGAATGTTTATAGATATTTTGTCATTGATTTCTCATTTAATTTTGTCAGAGAACAAAATCTGTACAAATTAAATCTTTTAAAATATATTGAGACTGATATATGACCTAGCACATGTTGTATCTTAGTGAATGTACTATGTATCACTGAGAAGAATGTATATTTTGCAATTGTTGGTTGTGATGTTCTAAAAAGGTCAACTAGATTAAGGTGGTTTATAGTATGGTTGGATTCTTTATATTCTGATTTTTTGTCTGTTTATTTTATCAATTATCAAGACAAGAGTGTTAAAAATTTCCAGTTATTACCCTGGATTTGTCTATTTCTTTCTTCAGTCCTGTTAGTTTTTGTTTTATATATTTCGAAGCTCTGTTATTAACTGCATACACTTTTATTATTGTTATGTCTTCCTGATTGACTCTTTTATCATTATGAAATATCCTTCTTTATCTCTGGTAATACTCCTTGTTTTGAAATCTGCTTTGTCTGATATGAATTTAACCACAACAGCTTTCTTATGCTGTTAGGTATACATTTTTTTCAATCCTTTTACTTTTCATCTATCTGCGTCTTTAAAATGTGTCTTTTATAGATTGTATGTAGTTGGGTCTTTTATATTCAGTCTGACAATGATAATCTGTGCTTTTTAGTTTATTGTGTTTAGTTCACTTGCATAGCATTTAGTTCATTAACATTTAACATAACATTACTAGTTTGTGTTTAGGTGTACCATCTTGCATTTCTATTTGTTCCATCTGGGTTTTTTGTTGTTATTGTTCCTCTGTTTCACCTTCTTTTGGGTTAATCAAACACTTTTTGGTATTCCATTTTATATCTACCTTTGGAATTTTAGTTATACCTCTTTGTATAGCTGTACCTTTTTTTTAGTGGATGCTAGGTTGGCATCTGCTCTCTAGCATCTCTTTTTTTTTTTTTTTTTGCGGTACGCGGGCCTCTCACCGTTGTGGCCTCTCCCGTTGCAGAGCACAGGCTCCGGACGCGTAGGCTCAGCGGCCATGGCTCACGGGCCCAGCCGCTCCGCGGCATGTGGGATCTTCCTGAACCGGGGCACGAACCCGTGTCCCCTGCATCGGCAGGTGGACTCTCAACCACTGTGCCACCAGGGAAGCCCTCTAGCATCTCTTTTGCTGTTGTCTTTTCTCCAGTTCTCTTTGTCCCTGTGGGATATTCTTTTGATCCCTTTACTCTCACTTTAGCAGAGTTTCAGGAGATAACTGCGTGTGCTCAATCTCCCAAGTACCTTCCTTCTACTGTTCAAAAACAGAAACAGGAAACAAAAGTTGTGTTGTAATGTGGATGATGCAAGAAAGACTACATGAAATTCTACTCGGAGGCCCATCATGGAAGAAAAGGCCTTGGCCTTACGTTAGGAGCTTGGTGAATGAATAAATGTACATTTATGTTTTTAGGTCAAAATAATATGCTTGAGCTATGTATGTATGTATGATTATTATTCACAATTCTCCACTTTTAATTGGGTTTTTCAGTTAATGAACCTATTCTGTTCCTGACTGTGATGTAAAAGATGGTCTCTTTTATCCCTGTAACTTTAGTTGATAGCAGATGGTGGTTCTCTTAGACAAGAGGAAATGGGAGTCTAGGACAGTAAGTTACATCCTTCGGTTTTCAGGTGAATAAGCAGCTCATTTATCTGTGGAGGTGGGACTGAATATAGGAGGTGATAGTATTGCCATTCAGTCCTCTCCTTTTCATTCCTTCTTTCAACAAATATTTGTTGCCACGTGCTGTTTGCTGTGTTCTGGTGCATCTCCCTTTGGGGATATAGAAGCACTGACTTAACCCACACAGATGGGTTAAGTTGCCCTTTCCTTGGGCTGGGTACATATTGGTGATTTTGTCTCTTTCTTTTACTTTTTGACTGGAGGTGAAAATGTATCTTTATCTCTTAAATTTGGTCAAGAAGACAACCACCCATGTGAAACAACCATGGTAAGGGGAGGGAAATATCGTGCAGTAGAAATTCCCTTTCCTGTGAATGGAATCATCTGGAATGCTTTAACAAACAACACTGGTTAATAGTCATTATTGGACACAAGAACTTGATGTCATTTTAATTCTCACTCAGACTCCTGTGCACCTAGATTTAGCACTCTCATAGTCTCCAGGGAAGATTCTCTGCATTTATTTTTAAGCTTTAAGTGACCAAGTTACAGCCCTAAAGGCACACCGTTTACCGAAAGCAGGAGGAGGAAACAGCTTGCTGAATAGTATGGCCAGGCTCGTTTCTGGATCTTAGTCTTCTATTCTCAATTCTGGGAAGAAGTCACTCGGAAGAATGAGTTTTTTTCTTGGAAGAGCCATAGTTCACTTCAATAATACGGAGACAGCTTGAAGATTTAGTCTACAGAGAAATTCAGCCCCAATTTGACAGCCTTCTCATTTCCACACAAGAGGCTAAAGAACTCCCTGCAGTAGTTTCTCTGCATGTGTCATATATTAAGAATAAGAGTATTCATACACTCGTCCGTATACCTATGTGTATGAATATATATGACGAATACTGTTATCAATATACGTAAATGCTGTCATTTTCCAAAATCTTTCTCACCAGCTTTCCACACTCTGTACAAGATGCTGTCCTGGGAACAGAGGGAAGGGAAGGAGTCTGTAAACAGCATTGAAAGGAAATAGGGCTTGTTGAGAAGTGACAAGAGCAGAACAGAGTCCACTAGATAGAGGCAAAACATGGGACCAGGCTTAGAGAGGGTGAGGAAGATGAGGGAACCAGAACAAAAGCTACAGAGTGAGGAGAAAAGGAGAGGGACAGGGCAGATGCAGTGAAAGCAGAGGATGGCAGAGATCTACGTGGGGAAGAGGGAAGGGGCCAGGGCTTTCTCAGGAGGACTTTGTGCATGTGTCTCCTTTTATTTTATTTCATTTTGTAGCGGCAGACTTCTGAGATCTGAGAACATATGGGTTAGGTATAGCTCCCACAGTACTACGAACTCATGGTAACTTTCACAAGCTTATAATTCATTTTCAAATCTCGTTTTACGCATGCCTGAAAAATCAAACCAGCAGGCTTTGTACCAGAGGGGAGAGAAGGCTCTAACTAGGAATCATCCATGCCGCTGCCTGGCTTCCCTTATGTCTGAACAGCAAGAAGGGTCTATGCCTAAAAGCTCTCCCCTGCCTTCACCTGGAGCTCAGAGGGAGGACTTGGGAAGGGCGATGGTGTAGTTGAAAGATGCAGTATTAACAGCCAGTGAGGTAAACTCGCTAAAATTGACCACATCTCAGAAAATGTAAATATTCCATTTAAAAAATCAAATTAACTATGAAAAAAATTCTGGTTATAGACTAACACTTGCTGTCAGATGCTTATAAAAAATAATCCAAACAGAAAAGAAAACTTTGTTTCCCAGCATGAGCCTAACTTCTACCACAGGACTTTCTAGCCCTAAGAAAGTTCTGCCATGTGAGAGTAGTTGTGAACAAACCGTGGCTACAGGAGTTTCCTTCTGCACAGTGGGGAGCTGCAGAAAGCAGGCGGGTACCACAGGTGGTGGACTTGGCGGAGAGAGGAGCATATGGGTTCGACAGCAGAAATAGATGTCACCATCTGGCGCAAAACCCCTCAAATAATCCCATTACCTCCCTGTCCTACCCCTTATCCAGGTTGAGAGCAGAGGGCCTTTGAGATATATTTGATTTTTTCTTTATGACATAGTCCTGGTTTTAAGCAAATGTAGATAGAAGGTGATGTGTTTTGTTGGGGGTACCTGCCAAGGTGGAGTTCAAGGAAGAGGGGAGAAGTTTCTGAGGATGGACTCCCTCTGACATGATTGCTTGGATTGGAACTGGGATGTTTCCTGCGGGTGCTAATTAGAACAGGAAAAGTGTAATCCCCAGGAAAGAGGGATATCAGCATGCCAGCTGTTGGTGCGCAAGTGAAATTGATTCCTGGATGACAGGTGTCTGCAGAAAGATTTCCTGGAGGCACTTCTTGCCAGACCCTAAATGACTTTCAAATGAGACTCCTGGACACAGACAGCTTGTTAGGTGGTTTAGGGGCTTATCCTGTGCAGGTTTTGAACATCAATACCAGGCTGTGGCTGCTTGGGACACGGACAGTAAAGTCTGATATGCTGTGAATACCTTGCTGGACTTCTACATTTAGAATCTCAATGGTTGGGAGCGTTCAGAGCCTTACTTGGGATGATGGAAATCTGGAGACACATGGCAAATGTTTCAGTATTTGCTGTTGCTGTGGAGTTTGTCCTTTGGTTGGTGTGCTTAGGTTGTTCCGTTGGCATGTCCAACGGAGCTTCTGTACATCCTTCATCAGCTACGACACCATGCCTAGATTCCAATGACACGATGACATTTCATCAAATTTTAAAAACATGATTATTTGCACTGGAACAGCCCACCCCTTTAAATGCCTAATAAAATAAAATCTGGAAACTGATCCCCAGGTTGAAATTCCTTATATAAACAAGTGTGCCTTTGCTGCAGGAGTTGGTTGCCATTGTTACTCACCTCAAGAAGGTTCCTTGTTCATGTAAAAATGACCTGTCTGTGGGTTAAAGAACAGTTCTGCTCCCCATGGGTCAGAATGGTGCCGGCCACACATGCCTTATTGTCTTTTCCTAAGCTGGACTCAGTGATGCGTGCTGTGTGGACAGGGTACCCTTGGAATTGGATGAAACTCTGCACACCTCTTCAGATTTTCTCTTTACACAGGGGATGGCCAGAGTGGCCTCTGTCAGTGTCATCTATTCTAGAGACTGGAGAGAATCCTAGTTCTGCTGATGGTCAATCAGAATTCCATCCCCCACCCCACACCTCTTTCAGATCCATGAGAAAGGAGAGGAAGAGTTCAATGAGAAGAGTGAACATTATTCTGGAATCAGTGAGGAGCCTCTGCTCACAGCAGATCAGGTACGAATCTCTCTCTCTCTCTCTCTCTCTCTCTCTCTAAGTTCTTGGAACTTTTAGTTCCTTTGATAGACAAAAAGTCTGAATACATACCTGTCACATCCCTTTCAGGCAGTAGAAAAATGTATGGTCTTGTGGTGGCTGTGTCTTTGGTAAATTTCATGTCTCTTTAAGCCTCAGTTTATGCACCTGCTGTAATTAGGGATGTAATTCCTGACGTGTGTTGGATGTGGTCCATGTTTGATAACAGCCAGAGATGGGCTCAGCGTTTACTGCCTTCATTTCCTACTAAGTGTCTTTATTGCAGCTCATTGTACTTGGAGTCAAGACACTTAAACAAGGGTCCCAAATAGCTGTTCTACAAGAATAGAAATGGCAGAAGAGGCTTCCAAGTGATGGACATTTTCTCATATTTCATAGAACACTGAAAATGTTGAGCCTTCCAAAAGAAGTATTAGAAATGCTTGTTTTTTTTTAAAAAAAAGATCTAATGTTTCACATTTTATTGAGTTACTTATATTTTGGTTTTAATAATTTGTTACTTAGGGAAAATACTCCTGAGTCTATGGATTCCTTATTCAACCTTTGAGTCAACAACTATTTATGGGCACTTGCTTTGAGCAGGCACCTTTCAGGTGTTTTCACAGAGTGGTTCTGAAAAAACTCCACTAGGAGTTTTGGTTCCAGAAAGTGCTTTTCAGTAAAAGGAACTCTTTCATATCTGTGGTAAAAAGTGGGCTATAAACAGATAAGGATCAAGAGATTAAAGGGAACCAGATTAAAAAGAATAGGGGCTAGCAGTTACCTTGTGAATTTGGGGAGAAATACAATTCAGTGACACAAGCTCAATGATAATGGCTCTGAAAGAGAAGCTCAGCCATAAAATTCTAAAGGGGGTTGGTGTAGTTTGCTCGTGTTCCATGAATGGCTTGCAGTAGTCAAAAGCTAAGTATCCCTTAAATTTGTGAGTGGAGATGGGAAAGCTTGGGAATAAAATAGAAATTTTCCAGAGGAGGGGACCTAAGTGCCTTTATCTTTGATCCAGCCTAACGTAAAGGAACCCACTTCAAAGACCAGTTGGCCTTGGAGATGGAGTCCATCACAGCATCGAGAACAGACAAATATATAGATGCACTGTTCTGACCAGACTCATGGATGGCTTCTTTCAGAAGCGGTCTTTGCTTATTCCATTTCCTTTATGTGTAAACAATTAATCTACAAAGTAGTTCAGCCTTATTCCTCTTGGCAGTTATCTAATTTTACTCTCTCTTCTAGGAGCTGTCCCCTACAAGAGTCTAGATTACAGCTGGGTTTCTTATCGATTTTCTGCTCTCCAGAACCTACCTGTCCTTTTATTATGTCATTATCTTTATTTCCACTTTTGTTGGGCAGCTTTAGTTCCTGTCCAGGTGAATTCTGGAGGAAGAGCTGTTTTCCTCTATGTAAAAAAGCAACTCCCCATTTTGAGTTATCCTGGGAACACTTTGTTTTTTTTCCCATCTTAAGCATCATCACAATGAATGGACTGGATTTTGTGTTTGAGTTGGGTAGATAAAATGTCTTTCCACTTAGAAAGAAAGTGCTCAGAAAATTGAAGTAAATGTTCCCTTCCAGGAAGCTCTGCTTCATTTCCTGAAAGAGCAGTTTATTCCCAATAAAGCACTCATCTAAATGATGTTCTTGGAAGAGGTTTGACATTAAAGAGGACTCTATATCAAAGGAAGAGTGTTTGTAAGCCTTTGGTCAGATCTAGTTTTATTATTCTTCAGTATTTATTAAGTAACAATATTGCTTTAGGAATTTTACAGGCAACAAATTAGGAACATCCTTCCCTGATCAGAATTCAAGCACAGAAGAGTGAGCACTCCCTTGTGTACCTTCTCCAGGTGATTGAGGAGATTGAGGAGATGATGCAGAACTCCCCAGACCCTGAGGAGGAAGAGGAGCTTCTAGAAGAGGAGGATGGGGGAGAAACCTCCTCCCAGGCGGACTTGGTCCTCCTGCAGGAGATGCAGGCCTTGACCCAGACCTTCAACAACAACTGGTCCTACGAAGGTGAGAGTCCTGGGGGCGGGCTCACGGAGGACAAACTCAGCTCTGCCAGGCAGGGCACATGCTTCACACGCCACTAAGAGAACCTCGGATCTAGGGAGTTGGCAATACCTTTCTTACTAGACATCAGGAGAGAAGTTAGCATTGCTGGGGGAGGAAGCAATATTAAAATGATAAAACGACCTGTGTACAGCACAAGGAACTCTACTCAATACTGTGTAATGGCCTATATGGGAAAATCTAAAAAACAAAAAGAAGAGTGGATATATGTATATGTATAACTGATTCACTTTGCTGTACACCTGAAGCTAACCCAACAGTGTAAATCAACTATAATCCAATAAAAATTTTTTAAAAATGAAAACAATGGTAAAACAAACCAAAGAACAAGACTAAAGCAGAACGAGTAGAGGAAATCTGAACCCACTATTCACAATGACACCACCATGAAATCAATGAACAAACCTACAAATGGTAATGATAATAATAGCTCATATTTTTGGAGAGCTTTGGAGGGCCAGGCGCTGTTCTAAAACTTTCTATGCATAATCTCATTTCACGCCCGTGCCAACCCCATTAGGATTGAGCTAACTGAGTTTCCAAGAGGGTAAGTGACTTGTTTCAAGGCCACCGTTGCAGAAATATAATTAAGAAATAAAATCTCCTCCCCACCCAGAAAACCTCTCCACAGAAGTAGAGGTTTTCTTTCTGAGAAAATGAAAACAATTTCATTATTGAATTGATGCATGTCACAGTCAACCCACTAAAGGGATTGCAAAACTGGAAAGAAATCTAACCCGTGTCTACAGCTAACTGGACACAACCCATTACAATTTTGCAATTTAGAGTCAGGTGGCAAGTTAGGCCCCTGTTTTCTTTCTTGGGGATGACTTTTCAAAGCAGTGGCTCCCAGGTCCTTGAGGAAGCACATCTGAGTCCTGAGACTGGCCAGTGGCTTATTTAGCCATTAAAGTGATGCACATATATTTGAAAAACAGAGAGAGAGATTCTGAAAGAAAAAGGGAGGTGAGGGGGGGGCTTCCCTGGTGGCGCAGTAGTTGAGAGTCTGCCTGCCGATGCAGGGGCCGCGGGTTCATGCCCTGGTCTGGGAAGATCCCACATGCCGCGGAGCGGCTGGGCCCGTGAGCCACGGCCGCTGAGCCTGCGCGTCCACAGCCTGTGCTCTGCAACGGGAGAGGCCACAACAGTGAGAGGCCCGCGTACCGCAAAAAAAAAAAACAAAAAAAAGGGAGGTGAGGAAGAGGGGAAGTCTCTTCCCTTATTTTCAACAGGGAGAATCAAGCCTCTTATTTTATTTTTTTAACATCTTTATTGGAGTATAATTGCTTTACAATGGTGTGTTAGTTTCTGCTTTATAACAAAGTGAATCAGCTATACGTATACATATATCCCCATATCTCTTCCCTCTTGCGTCTCCCTCCCACCCGTCCTATCCCACCCCTCTAGGTGGTCACAGAGCACAGAGCTGATCTCCCTGTGCTATGCGGTTGCTTCCCACTAGCTATCTGTTTTACATTTGGTAGTGTATAACATGTCCATGCCACTCTCTCACTTTGTCCCCGCTTACCTTTCCCCTCCCCGTGTCCTCAAGTCCATTCTCTACATCTGCGTCTTTATTCCTGTCCTGCCCTAGGTTCTTCAGAACCTTTTTTTTATTTTTTAGATTTCATATACATGTGTTAGCATACAGTATTTGTTTTTCTCTTTCTGACTTACTTTACTCTGTATGACAGACTCTGGGTCCATCCACCTCACTACAAATAACTCAATTTCGTTTCTTTTTATGGCTGAGTAATATTCCATTGTATATATGTGCCACATCTTCTTTATCCAGTCATCTGTCAATGGACACTTAGGTTGCTTCCATGTCCCGGCTATTGCAAATAGAGCTGCAGTGAACATTGGGGTACATGACTCTTTTTGAATTATGGTTTTCCCAGGGTATATGCCCAGTAGTGGGATTGCTGGGTCCTATGGTAGTTCTATTTTTAGTTTTTCAAGGAACCTCCATACTGTTCCCCATAATGGCTGTATCAATTTACATTCCCACCAACAGTGCAAGAGGGTTCCCTTTTCTCCACACCCTCTCCAGCATTTACTGTTTGTAGATTATTTGATGATGGCCATTCTGACTGGTGTGAGGTGATACCTCATTGTAGTTTTGATTTGCATTTCTGTAATGATTAGTGATGTTGAGCACCCTTTCATGAGTTTGTTAAGCCTTTTATTTTTAATGCATATTTGCCCCTGTGTCACATTCAAGTCTTAAGGGGTGGAGTCAAAATTTGAAACTAGGCAGGTTAACTGCAGAGTCCACACTCTTAGTCTGTGTATCGTATTAACTCTCTGACACAGATTTGTGGTAATTATGATCCTGCAAAGAAAGAGGTGGATGAAGCGTGAAATTAAAAGATGTAACAGCAGTGGCAAAACTGAGTATAAAATTCATCCATCTGCGGGGATAGTGGTAACTAGGTGGCTGGAGGGGACATGTTCCCTGGGAGCAGATCCGAATGGGGGTGACGGGACTTATAAACGACGGAGAGGGAAGGCGGGCTGGTCAGGGTATAAAGGTCCAAGCATAGACTAGAATAGTGGTGAAAATAGAGGCGTGATCTGAAGAACTGCACCCTCTAAGTAAAACCCTGTGGCTCTGAAGAGCAGAGGCAGGGCGATGGCAGCAGAAAGAATCCGCTGTGACGGATGGAGTGGATTTGGCCCTGGTGCTGCATTCACAGCCGCTCCAATCAGGCCATTCTCCGGCATACAAACGTCCCACACATAGAACTGCTCAGCAAAAGACTCGGGAAAACGGCTGAAATGCAGAGTGAAATGGCAAAAACAGAAGGAGGAGGACAGCTCCAAAGAGTGAAATTAAAGGGGAAGGTTGAGCTAAGTCAGCAAATCCCCCAGCAGAGCAGGAGCGGAAAGGGAAAGGAAAATGGATTCTGATGTAGAAACAAAAGATGCCACTAGGACGGGGCACATTCAGAAATATGCTCCCGAATCTACTTTAGGTGAAGAAGTCTTAGGGGACAAGAGTTTAAAACAAAGTGATCAGTGTCCTGTCTTCCCAGGTTCCCTTTCCTTTTCTCTGACAGTAGCAGACGACTCGGTACCAACAAGGCAGACTTCATTTTTCTGTACATGTTGCCCATCTTTACATGTTTCACGTATTTTGGGGCACGTGCACCGCGACACAGGACAGTAGGTGTAAAGAAGGCCTCAGATCGCTCTGCTTACTTTGCTGTCGGCTGTGTCTTGATCAGGTTTTGGGAATAAACACCACCTCTCTATTGCTCCTCAGCACGGATGCCAAACCCCTTCATCATGTTTTCTTCCCCCCAATTCTTGACCCATTTCACATGAGGAATATTACAGAGACAGAGGGAAAATAGGGAGACGGAACAAGGGATCAAAACCCACACGTCTGCCCACACACGTTTTTTTGTTTTGTTTTGTTTTGGTGGTACGAGGGCCTCTCACTGCTGTGGCCTCTCCCGTTGCGGAGCACAGGCTCCGGACGCGCAGGCTCAGCGGCCATGGCTCACGGGCCCAGCCGCTCCGCGGCACGTGGGATCTTCCCGGACTGGGGCACAAACCCGTGTCCCCTGCATCGGCAGGCGGACTCTCAACCACTGCGCCACCAGGGAAGCCCTTCCCACACACGTTTTTGTGGACAGAGTCCACAGACTCCACAGTCCTTGGGGGCTGTTTTTCCTCCCCCCTTCGTTTCCCCAAGATGATGTTCTCTTCCTCTGTCGATAACTGGCTCTCCCTGCTGGCACGCCCCTAAATTGTGAAGGTCTGTCATGGCCCTTTGAGGAGCTGTCTGGGGCCGGGGGGTCTCCTGCAGACCTGTCAGGCGGCCAGGGCCCCGGGAGCCTCTCCAGTGGGCTGGGCTTGATGCAGTGACCCTGCAGGATGGTCTTCCCCTGCAGGACTGAGGCACATGTCTGGGTCTGAGCTGACAGAGCTGCTGGACCAGGTGGAGGGCGCCATCCGAGACTTTTCAGAGGAGCTGGTGCAGCAGCTGGCCCGCCGGGACGAGCTGGAGTTCGAGAAGGAAGTGAAGAACTCCTTCATCACGGTGCTCATCGAGGTGCAGAACAAGCAGAAGGAGCAGCGAGAACTGATGAAGAAGAGGCGGAAAGAGAAAGGGCTGAGCTTGCAGAGCAGCCGGATAGAGAAGGGAAGCCAGATGCCACTCAAGGTAAGAGGACAGCCTGGCACGAGGACCAAGCGCACCCACGCCTCCGGGCTCCCCGTTGCAGGTCCGGGGACCAGCCCTGCCGTGGCCCCAGACAGACCTGTCCTAAGCCGTGACAATGAGCAAGGACACCCTGGCAGACAGCAGAGCCACGAGAGGGAGAAGAGCCCACCCGTGTCCTCTGCTCCCCTAGAGGATGCCCGGTCTAACTGGAGGAGACAGGATGTAACACTGGAAAATAAGTGACTATGGCGTGTGCTATCTTAAGCTAGATCTGAAAAAGTGGGGTGAAAGCATTTAGGATTGAAAGGAGTTGTGCCCTGGGACGAGCCTGCTACCAGCACAGCTTAGGGTCCTGACTCATCTCTTTAGGATGTCCATAGGGTGTTTCCGGATGGAACATTATGACGCCTTGTGATATTGACCAGATTCTTCTAACCAGTGGTTCTCCATCAGGGAAGCTCAGCAGAATCAGCTAAGGAGCTTTTTCAAAATACCTTTCCCTGGGCTCCCTCGCAGACCTACTGAATTGGGCCCGGGCATATGCATTTTGGAAAAAGCTTTCCAGATGAGGACAGTCGTTTTACACCTGCCCTTCCCAATGGCTGGGCGTTTTGTTTTCTTCCCTGAGACATTTTCATCGTCATCTGTCCAAGTCTCCCTCTGCTGCTTTATTTTTCTGTGTACACAATGGAGGCTGAAATGAGGAAACCCAGGAGTGCGGGGGGTGGGGGGGTCTTGTCGCCCAAGGCACTTACTCAGATAAGAGTCTTTGAGACTCTGCTATTGCTTCTTGCAAAGCTCAGGCTGAAATTTTGGCCCATCTCTTAGCCCAGGTCTTACCTTTGCTTTCTAGTCGCAGAATTGGGGTCTGGATCTGGGACAGTATGGAAGCTGACGGGTCCAGGTAGCTTAGGGAGGACACAGGTGTCCCTGGGGCAATGAATATGAGCCGGAAGCACTTGCCCTTCTGAGTCTCGTTGTCCTCCCCGCCCCCCCCACAGCGCTTCAGCATGGAAGGCATCTCCAACATCCTGCAGAGCGGCATCCGCCAGACCTTTGGCCCCTCAGGAACTGACAAGCAGGTACAACCCATCTCCCTGCTCCCAGCTTCCTTCCCAGATTCTTGCAACTTGGTCTCTCCAACAGAGCAGGGGATGGTGATTCACTAGAATTATCCCCGCACGGGGCCAGGTTGCAGGGGGAAATGTCCTAACAATCTCTTCCATTCTAAGGAGGAACAGAAAGTGTCTTTTTAAAGGCAAAGTTTTTTGAGCTTTAATATGAGAGGGCCTGGATAAAACTTAAAACTCAACACTACTTGTAGACCTATGAGTTCAGTTGTTTTCAGAACAAAATGCATTAAAGGGGAATCCACTTCATGAAAGATCCCATCCAAGAGCTTCATTACCTCTGCCACACTGGGCCACCAGGTGAGCCAATCCCACCAAGACTGCCTCTTCACTTCAGCTGCCCTGTTGACTGTAACCCGTGCTGCGGGGGTCTCCCGTTTAGCTCCGTTTAGTCAATCACTTCTCACCTGAGAAGTGGCTTGCATTTCTGGCTCTCAGGTGCCTGCCATGTGCTAGGCTCTGTTGCTTAGGGCAGTACAGAGATGAGGAAACCCTGGTCCGGCCCTCATGCAATGCATAATAGTCTAACAGAGAAGGCCAATTTGTCAATAGACACCTTTGAGGTTGTGCACAAAAACTGTGTATGTTTTAGACATATTTGTAGCTGAATCCTAAGTGTTAGAATTCTGGAACTACAGCCTGGGAAGAGATTTTAGGAACGTCTAACTCACTCCCCTGAGTTCACAGCAGTGAGAACTAAGGCCCAGAGAGATTAGGCGTTTCCCCAAGGCCACGCTGCTAGTGGCAGGGCCAGGCCTCCTGGTCTAGAGCTCTTCTCACTCACGACCCCCAGGCTCCCTCAGAACCTTCCAGGTCTCTCTGGCCGGTATTCTTTGATATCCCACTGGACTCTAAGATGATTTTGTTGTAGGAGCACCTCATCTCCAGCAGAGGGAGCAAACCCAACATCCCAGACCCAGGGCAGGGTTGAGGTTTTCTCACCAGTCATTTTGACAGAAGAGAAACCATTCATTCTCAAGTTGCACTGCAGAAGATAAGAAAATATCACCCCCCCACCCCCTTAGAATGTTGTCTGCTTTCAGCTTGGAGGAGAAAATGCTCACCAGGATTCCTAAATAATCAAAAAGTTTCTAGTGTCAGAAGAATATATCCGTTGGAGTGGAAGGACATTTTTCCTGGCTAATATGGTAAAGTCTTACTTTTAAAGAGACATTTTCCAAAAATGGGGAAAAAGTCCTGAAACGATGGCGCGCACATCATCACGGGTGTTGTCGAGAATGTCAAATTTGACGGAGCGTGTTTTTTAGAGAAAAGCCCAATCCCCATGCAAGCTGTCAACCGTATCTCAGCCCCCGGGGGCCGGGCTTCTGTCTCACATGCTGCACACCCTGCTTGTCTTCTAGTACCTGAACACGGTCATCCCTTACGAGAAGAAGGCCTCGCCCCCGTCGGTGGAAGATCTCCAGATGCTGACAAACAGTGAGTTCCTCCCATTTGCAGCGAGACCAGGGGCTCATTTCCCTCCCTCCCACCCTGTGAGTTGCACCCGTGGTATCTCATTCCGGAGGTGTCCCCAGAGCAGTTTCTATGGGTCAAAATGTGCTCCACACCGTTGCATCACGTCCCCGGCACGGGGTACAATTAAAGAGTTCTGCAGCGATACCCAGAGCTGCCTCGTCTTTTCCCGGTTCCTGTAAGGGAAGAGACTTGCCAGAGAAAAGGAGCTGGTGGAAGAGGCTGGGGCGGTGGCAGGGTGGTAGTGGTGTGCAGGGGCTCCCTGTGGTTCATCCACCGGTCTCAAGGCTGTGCACTCTCTGCCTTGCCATTTCTCTCTTCTGAAGCTTGAGGTTGCCTCGCGTCCCCAAGGCAGGGAGCTCCTTCTAAGGGACTGGCTGTATTTACTGAGAAGCAAGGTTTCTTGGGCGGGGTAAGGCTGATTAGAGAGAATAGAGTCTGGTTTTCCTTCCAGGCAATGACTGCTTCCTCTCTTCCACTCTGACTCTAGTGTCAAGTAATATTAAGAAACATTCTGAGCTATGGGAGAAAACAGCCTGTGACAAAGAGCCTTTTGGAGGCAAAATCTCTTTATAGACATCAAACACTACAGCCCGCAAAGGGCCGGGGGGGCACGTGGTGTCAGCCCTCAGTGTCGGCTGGATTCTTTTAGGAAGAGAAAAATCCTAGGCTGAGATGTGGGGACGGGATCAGTGAATCCCGAGACCGTCCATCTCCCTGGCAACCGTGCACTGCATTGAGTGACATACTAACCGGGCTGCGCAACCTGCAGCCCCGTTGCTGTGCTGCTGCCTCGGCGGGAATGGACCCCTGCAGGGCCATTTGACACCCTAGGGAATGGGAAGAGGTGCTTCAGCTGTTTGGCTGAGGAAGATAGATACCTCCTGGGCCCAGTGCTAAAGGTGCCCAAACGGTTTCATTTTTATCGTTTTGGAGAACTAAAGCAGGAGGTTCTGGTAAACGGAAATCTTGCCTACATCAATAGATACTGCGGCCTTGAGAATCTGGAATTTTAAATTCAAAGTGCATCGGCTTCCTCTAAACTCGTTTGGAGCGCCTTTATTTGCATACATATGCACAAAGATTTTTTTTTTTAACGGAAGCAGATAGAAACGAGCTGACATTTATAGGTGTTTGTATTTTCACAAGGAGTAAGCATTTGGAAAATAATTTGGACAAATTATGAAGGTTGATATATGTAGAGTACTCTATCGTACTCTTTTTTTTTTTCTATCATGCTCTTTTTAAAAAAGGAAGAGCTATAAATTTATTACAGATACCTATTCAGGAATTCAGTGTGAAATCCTTTCATTTTAATTAAGAAACACTGGGTTTGTTTACACATTTCAAGTTCATTTTAAAAGTTAGGGCTAGAGTATATCCATCATTTAGAATACTTTGGAAACATAGAAATGTGAACAAAAGAAAATAAGTAACTTCTTGTCCCCTTCACCGTGGTTACTGTATGGTGTTTTTCAGCCATAGTATTTTATGCCTTTTCCATATGGTTGGGATTATACCGGCTATAAAATTTCATATCATGATTTCAGTCACATCAGTTAACATTTGGTTAACATCCTTTTTATGGCTCTCTCTTCTGTCATATGGACATACGACATTCCAATATTTTATCCCTTTAAAAATAAAACTGCCAACTTTCCTGAATACCAATTCTCCTGTAGATGATGAAAGCTCTCTTTTTGGGCACATCCTTGTATGGGTTCGTGAATAACAACTCCTCTGTCCCCAACTCCTGAGTCAAAAATGTAGGCCGGGGCTTCCCTGGTGGCGCAGTGGTTGAGAGTCCGCCTGCCGATGCAGGGGACGCGGGTTCGTGCCCCGGTCCGGGAGGATCCCACATGCCGCGGAGCGGCTGGGCCCGTGAGCCATGGCCGCTGAGCCTGCGCGTCCACAGCCTGTGCTCTGCAACGGGAGAGGCCACAACAGTGAGAGCCCCGCGTACCGCAAAAAAAAAAAAAAAAAAGAATGTAGGCCAAAGACTGGCTCCGGGGACTGGGCAATTTATATAAAGTTTGGATTTTGGAGATCACCTTAGTCACATATTGACTGAGTGCAATTATTGTATTTTTACGCCTATCTTCTTGGTGGGCAGCATTTAGTCTGCTCGTGCTCAGTTGCAAAGTATTTTCAGCCTATTACATCGAAATGAATCCATGTCTTAAAATACGGAAGAAATAAAAGAAACCATTGCCTGGATGGCCTGAGGTCCAGTCTTTTTCTGGAGTTGGCCACGGACTCATGCCACCATCAGGCTCTGTTCCTCACCCACTCCTGAGCTTTGGAGTCAAGTTCCATGACCCTGACTTGCAATCAATGGAAAACAGGACCTAGGAATGGACTGGGGGGTGGTCCCTCCATTGTAATGGTTGCCTCCTGACCCCAGCTATCAGGGCCAGCTGATCTTTAGTGTTTTTTCCACTTGCCAAAAGTAATACATGTTCATGGAAAAAAACTGGACACTGTAGAGATATCACAGTAGAAGGGAACAACGCCCGGGGTCTCACAGTCCGAGGTATCTGCTTTTTACGGTTTTGTGCACATTCTTCCAGATTTTTCTATGAATATTAGCATTTATTATTTACTCATTTAAAATTAATACATAAAGTTCTGCAGCCTTCTTTCTCCATTCATAAGTATGTCTTGTGCATAGAGATCGCTCTCATCTCTCATGAGGCTGTATGAGACTGTGTGTGTATTACATACACCACAGTTTACTTAAGGCATCCACTGATGAATAACTCTGTTGTTGGATAACCCACCCCTGCCCTCACTTTCCGATAGTATAAGCGAGGTCCAGGTATTTTCTTGAAGGATTTTCTACAAAGCTGACTTCCACAACATGAATCATGAATATGAGAAGATGCTTCCTAGTTTAATAACAGAAAAATCTGTTTTCAAAACTTTTATAAAAAGCCTTTAGGCTTCATTCACTTCCCTATTGTTTGCTTCATGTGTAGGTCATATCCTGTTTCAACAAGAAGTCTGTAAGCTCCTTGAGGGTCATTAATATTCTTGCATTCCCACAAATTCTAGCGCTGTACTGGGCATAGAGTAGAAAATATTTGTGAAATTAAATTCATTTGCTGTTAATAAACTGGAGGCGAGAACTTTGCTAATAATATCTGTTTATACGAATAGAATGTCTTTAAAGACAGATTTATCGGTGGTTCGGTGATGTGACAGCTGTCATTCTTAACATTTGGATTGCATCTGAAAGCTGATTCCTTTTTTAAATTGCTTTGTTTATTTTTATGATCATTAAAGATACATACTTAGGAGGTGATGTGGAAATTATAGATGAGCACACACAAAAAAAGTAAAGGATAAAAGTGAAGTCACCTCATCCATAGGGCCACCCTGACTCTTTTTTTTTTTTTTTGCGGTACACGGGCCTCTCACTGTTGTGGCCTCTCCTGTTGCGGAGCACAGGCTGTGGATGCGCAGGCTCAGCGGCCACGGCTCATGGGCCCAGCCGCTCCGCGGCATGTTGGATCCTCCCAGACCGGGGCACGAACCCGTGTCCCCTGCATCGGCAGGCAGACTCCCAATCACTGCGCCACCAGGGAAGCCCCGACCCTGGCTCCTTTGATGGATTTCCCAGCAGCCCCCTCCCCGCCCCAGTAGGTTGAATGCTGACTCTTGCCAGAGGCTTCTAGACTTTGCTCAGTACTCAGTGAATGTCTTGTTTCCTTGACTCTGCCTCGCTCACTTTGGGTTGGTGGGTTGTCTGGCCCCAGAGGTGAGCCCTATGCCCTGATGCATCTTAGCTCCTTTCTCTCTCCTTCTCCAGTTCTCTTTGCCATGAAGGAGGATAATGAGAAGGTGCCCACTTTGCTGACGGACTACATTTTAAAAGGTGAGAGCGGCCCAGGCCTCTGGGAGCAGAAGCATCCTCTAGGGCCCCCTCCCCCAGGACTCCTGCTGGACACGTGGAACCCGCACTGCAGCCCTCCCAGGGCATCCACGCCAGGCCAGATCGGGCAGGGCCAGGGGACTCAGCGGACAATTGTGGGGAGGCCCTCGCCTTTGGATGTTGCTAGGAGGCCTGAGGAGGAGATTCCATCACCCCCGAGTCACCAGAGTGACTCCACACAAAAAGCAGCCAAACCAACAAAAGGGTTATTGTGAAAGTTCTCTGCGGCTTGGGCTATTTAGTGGCAAAAACAAAGCCAGAGGATACCTTTAACAGTTTCAACTACTTGGAAGGCAGCAAACTAGAGTCATGATTAGCTACATCCCTTCATAACTTTTTTGTTTCATCTTTTATTACGGAAATTTTTAATATATATAAAAGTAGAGTGAACGGTATGATGAACTGCCATGTACTTAACATCCAGCTTTAACAATTATTAACTCCTGGCCAATCTAGTTTTCATTTATATCACTTCTCTCTTCCATGTTATTTTGAAGCAAATACCAACCATTATATATATTTTTCATCCATGAATATTTCAGTGCACATTCCTAAAATATAACCACGATATCATGATCACAACTAGAAAAATAAAAAATGTAAAAGTATCTTTGAGGGACTTCCCTGGCCATCCAGTGGTTAAGATTCCACACTTCCACTGCAGGGGGCTCAGGTTCGATCCCTGGTCGAACTAAGATCCCACATGCCTCATGGCATGGCCAAAAAAAAAAAAAAAAAAGTATCTTTGATTACCCAACCAGTGTTCAGGTTTCCCTGATTTTCCTATAAATTTTTTTCAGGTTATTTGTTTGAATCAGGATCCAAAGAAGGTCCATACATTACAATTGCATAATGTATCTCTTAAATCTCTTTTAATATATATAGGTTCCCCTTTCCCTCCTCTCTCTCATTCTTTGAATTTTATTTCTTAGAGAAACCAGGTTATTTGCCCCATAGCATTTCCTCATTCCGGCTTTTCCTCGGTAGTTGTGTCCTCACGGTTTCATTTAATACGTTCTTCAACCTTTTGTATTTCTTGTTGCCCAGTAGAGCTAGAGGACTGATCACATTCAGATCGTCCACACCAGACCAGACCAGGCAGGGCCAGAGAGCTCAGTGTACAATTGGCCACAAAATTTTTGATAAGTTTTAGGTTATCAATGGTTGTAAACTTCCATTAAGAGACCTATTACCTGGTTGTCTTTCTTTGGGAGATATTAATATCTGTATTAGTCTGCTCAGGCTGCTAAAACAGAAGACCAGGTGGCTTAAACAACAGAAATTTATTTTCTCGCAGTTCTGGAGAGTAGAAGTCCAGGATCAAGGGGCCAGTAAAGTGGGTTTCTAGTGAGGGCTCTCTTCTTGGCTTGTAAACAGCTACCTTCTCGCTATGTTCTCACACGGCCTTTCTTCTGTGTGTGTGGGGAGAGTGCCAGAGCGCTCTGGTGCTGCTTCTTACAAGGACACTAATCCCGGCAGATCAGAGCCCCACCCATAAGACTTCATTTAACCCTCCCTCCTTAGAGGCTCCATCTCCAAAGACAGCTGCACTGGGGGTTAGGGCTTCAACATGAATTCTTGGGGGGACACAAACATTGATTGTGTAACACTCTCCATCAATGGTCATTCATTGTCCAGATTCTGTTTTTCATTAGGTTTTGCTCCACAGGCACAACCTTGGGCACAGCTTCCAAAGGCTTGTGGACCTCAGTTTAGAACCTCTGAGCTGTATTGTTTCCATAAGGCTCAGAAAGATTAATATTAAATTTCCGCAGGATGAATTTAGACTAAACATTGGGAAGAACTTCTGACTCTTAAAGATTTTTAAAGAGTATCCCATTTCTCAGAGGAGGTGTGTAGAAATGGGTTCTATAAGTCTGGGAGCCCGAGAGCTAGACTTTACCCCTCACGATCCACTGAAATGTCAGTGAATTTATAAAACTAGTTAACATTTACTGAGCACTTTCTATTTGCCTCTGAGCAACCCTGTGGAGTAGGCAGAGGCACAGTCTACTGTACACATGAAGAAACAAGCACAGGTAGGAGAAGTTATTTCCCGAAGGTCATAGAATTAGTAACAGCCAGACCCAGGATGTGAACCCAAGCAAATGGGCAGCAGAGACCCTGCAGTTAATCATTACACTGAACAATCGCCTATCCCTGGCGCTTCCTCCTTCTGGAAGGAAGACACATGATCACCATCCTTCCCTGGTTCCAAGGGGACAGTTCTCTGCTCAGGACGCAGGCGAGAGGCTGGCGTGACCGCTCTCGGCCACGGACACCCTGGGCTGGCAGGTCTGGCCACACACTTGCTTTGACATCCCTTCTCTCCTCTTCTCTTTCCAGTGCTCTGTCCTACCTAACCTTGCCCTTGGGAGCAGCCTTGCTGCGGAGGTCACTGAGCAAGAGTCATCCCACCGCAGGGACTGCATGACACCACGTAGCCTCCGCCGTGTATTTAAACGTGTATAGCTTAACCTGGATTAAACATGAGCAAATGCGCGGGGTCCTTTGCTGTTGGCTTCTAGTCCTAGTAACCATTGGATGCATGACCGAGGGGCAGGGCTGTTGACGTCACCTCCTCTCTGCCTGTGTCGGAGGGAGATAGACGCTGTCGCCACTCATGGTGTAGTCTGGCTCCAGCCCTCAAAAACAGCTTCCACCCTAAGACTAATTTTGAAATAAACCTTCATTTAATTAATATTCTTCATGTGCTTTGGCGTGTGGTGTCCCTCGGCCCTCTGGTACCAACCTCCAGAGAAAGGATGTGTAGCTGCAACCACATGATGCTCGTGGCCCGTGGCAGCCAACACGGTGTTTAGGGCTGGGCCGGGGGTGGTGGTGCACGCCATGCCCTGTGGCGGGGCTGCAGTCGTACAGACAGGAGGACGAGGCCATCTGCAGACGCCTAAGATCTAGCTGCCTGACAGCTTTACAGGGAGCCGCACGCTGAGTTGGAGGAGCTACTGGTTAGAGAGGAGATTGTGAAGTTAGCGCATGGCAAGTGAAGCTCGGGGGGAGCGGCTGGGCAGCTGTGGTGCCTCCTGTTGGGATGGCCGGGTTGACTCCAGGAGGCCCGGGTGCTGGAGGGCATCAGCTCCGCTGGGTTCTCCCAGCGTGGGGGTCCCGGCTGCTTTCCTGACTGCTCCCACTGACCCCTGGTATCCCCTGGCCGTGCGTGCCCTCCTTGCCCTCCCTGCAGCCCTCGACTCCCATGTGCTGTCCCCGGCATTGCCAGCCTCTTTGGGCCAGCAGGTGAAAGCTGTCCTCGTATCCGGAGGGGGCTCAATTTCACCATGACCTGAACTGTTTTGGCTTCCATCTTCTGGCTTGAATGATACTAACTCTGCAGATTCCCACAGTCCTGTCTTAAAACAAAACTTTTATCAAGTACTTGCTATGCACCTGCCACTAGCTTTGTCACCTCTACAAGTCATCTTGCATCTCAGCAGCCCTACGTAGGTAGTAGCATTGCCCTGACAGAAGGATGCGGAGACCAAGAAGCAGAGATGCTCAAAGTGGTGGAGTCAGACTGGCACCTTGTCCTCTTATCCAGTTAGATCTCCACCCCCTCTTAGGAGTTTGGTGTTTGTGTGCCACACGGAAAGCCGTGCTTCACCACACTGGCAACTCCACAGAAGGCTACAGATCGACACAGGTGACAATAGAAGGCATCCTTGTTGCCCTGCCTCTCACTTCCTGGGCCTCTGCTTTTCTAGGAGTGGTGCCGCAGAGCAGTAGCAGTCTTCCCTGGGGGTGAGGGGGCGGGGAAACTACCCCAGTGCCTGCAGCTCAAACTCAGGCATCTACACAGAGCAGGACTTCTGTGTGGACAGAGGCCCGGCCACTATAGGAAGGTGGAAACACCACAAGGTACCCAATGCAAATCCTCAGGGGTCAGCGTGTGTACCTAAGTTACCAGAGCTTTGACAAAAAGGGGCACCTGCAGCTCTGCATTCTTTGGTGCCACGGCCAAGGGGCAAAGGGCCACTGGCAGGGTGAGGTCCTTAGCACGATTCACACTTTGCCAGCTATGGGGGGGGGTGGGGGAGCAGTGAATTCCCAAGAGCCTTCCTTCCTGCCTTGGATTTGTCAGATCTGGGTCAGCCACTCCTTTCCCCCAATTTATCCTGCCAGCAGGTGTCTGAAGCAGCAGAGACACGCTAATCAAAGCTGCTGGCAGTTAAAAATAAGCCTCAGGTGCCAAGGAGATGCTCCATCTCGGAGGAGGTGAGTCTAGCAGGGCGGGGGCGGGGGCGGGGGTGGGAGTAGCGGCTGCTGTTTCCCTCCTGTTGTCCACATCGGGAGCCGAGGGGGATAGTAAATCAATGTCTCGTGGTTTTGCATCACCCTTTCCTCTGTCCTTGCTACTCAACATGAGGGGCCCAGACCAGCAGCAGTGACAACGCGTAGAAACTTGTTAGAAACGCAAAACTCAGGCCCAGCGCCCAGCAACCCCCCGCCCCACCGTTGGAAGCTGCATTTTAACGAGATTTCCAGGTAATTGGTGTTTGTGTTACGTTTGGAGACGCTTTACTGAGCTTTCAGTAAAAAAAAGCTGGAGCCCTGACTCTCGGAGACTGAACCCTCAGAAAGCAAGGATGGTGTGATTAACAGGTGATCTCACTGTCTCTCCCCCCCACTCTGGTCCTCTTCCCTCAGGACTGTTGTGACGTCCAGGAAGAGTCCCAGGGTGGATGGATACTTCAAACTCCAGTCAGTCCCGACGGCAAAGCTCAAGTCGACCTAGGGACTTGAGCTAGGCACTCAGCCAGGGCCACCGGGGAGCCAGGGCCTGCAGGGCACCCTCCTGGGCAGGTAGGACTTAGTTCGGCCAGCAGGCTCCTTTACTGAGGTGCATCCGCATCAATTAAAGGCCTCCATGTGGGTTTGCGAAGCTTAACCTGATCCAGTCTCGGTGAGGAAATGCCGTTGTAGGGCCTGATGCCAGCCTTTGGTTGTGTAGAATTGAAACAAACTATCCTATGTCCCCACATTCCCTTTCCTTGCATCTCTGCTTCAAGACGGGAGACAGATGTGGTATCTCAGAAAGAAAACCCAAAGGAAAATTAATTAATTAATTAATTTTTTAAAAAAAGGGACTTCCCTGGTGGCACAGTGGTTAAGAATCCGCCTGCCAACGCAAGGGACACGGGTTCAAGCCCTGGTCCAGGAAGATCCCACATGCCATGGAGCAGCTAAACCCGTGTGCCACAACTACAGAGCCCACGAGCCACAACTACTGAAGCCTGTGTGCCTAGAGCCCGTGCTCTGCAACAAAGTGTAGCCCCCGCTCTCCGCAACTAGAGAAAAGCCCGCGCGCTGCAACAAAGACCCAGTGCAGACAAAACTAAATAAACAAATTAAAGAAAAAACCCAAAGGGAAGGACGTTGGGATACTAAGTTTTATGGGATGAGTTGGATTTTTAAAATGAAATAAACCTTTTGCGTGCTCACTGGAATAATATCTGGAGTATAACTGTCTTCTAGAGGCCAGGGAAGAGACGGGGAAAATCATAAGGTGCAATCCAATGGGTGTTTTAGTATGAATGATGACCCAAGTCCTAACGGGCGTGATGAGTCCGTTCCATGGGCTTTGAGCATCACTGTGTCCTAGGGACTCCCCCAGCGGCCCCGTCACAAAGAGCGCTTCCGCTCTCACCAAAGGCCAAGAGCAGGGGGCACCCCAGGGGCCCAGCCCTCCTTCAGCAGAAGCGTGAATCGGGAGGGAGCCGGGAGAGGTGACACCCGGGCCAGCGTCCATGATTAGTATGCGTGGAGGGGAGGGTACTTAGATGCAGCTCTTGGAGAAGAGACACGTCCTTGATGGCGCCTGATTATTTATTTCCTTGGGAGGAAGAGAGGAGACTCCTTAGGATTTCTGTCTGAGCCTGAGCTTTGCACTCCTCCTCCCTTCGTGAGAGAGGGGACGCAGAGGCCACTCTGCTTACCAGGAAGGTGCTTGGCTTCATATTACTGCCTTTCTTTTAAAAGAACAATGGGCCACCTTAACCCACAGCCTCGCAGCTCCACCCCCCCACCTCCTGCCCAAGCCCTCATGCATATTCATCCTGCTTCAAAGAGCACAGCATGGAATATGCAAATTGGCCAGGCAGGAGCTGGTTGGCATTTTGATAATAGCTTTGTCTGACAAACCCCAGAGACACAAGCACATCTAGTTCCTCTCTCTCTTTATCTCCCTCTCTCTCTTCCCCTCCCTCCCTCCCTCCCTCCCTCTCTCCCCTTCCTCTATCCTGTGTCCCCCTCTTCATTCTCTCTTCCACCCCCCATCTGTCAGAGAACAGGAAAATGAAGCGAGTTAATGAAAGGCCAGGTGTCTGCATTCCAGTCCAGTGTATTTCCACTTTTCTCTCCTCTCCTCCTCCTTGAACAGAACCACTTTGTTTTACCCATTAAAGTGTTCCTGATCCGACAACGCCTGGGGCCCCGGGCCTGCCCTCTGCTCTCAGTGGCCTCCCCCACTTCGTCTGGGCCCCATTCTCTGCTCTCTCTCCCAGAGATGAGCTCCCTTCTCTTTGTCCTTCCATCTTTCAACCTGGTTTTACTGTCAACAGTCGAGCCTAAAAAACCCAAGAACCTGGCCTTGCCCTCTGAACAGGAGGGAAGGAATCACCTACACAGGCTGGAAGTGAGGGAGGCTTGGATGTCTGTTGTCATCACTGACAGGTTACCCGGACTCAGCAGCTCCTGACCTCTCGCAATCATCTCTACGACACATCTGAGCAGCCATCAGCAACGGCGCAATGGACCTGCCTTTGCCCCGTTCTTGGTCCCCGTTTGTTGATAGTCAACAGCGGCCTCTCCCCCAACACTATCTCCCCAGCCCCTGCCGCAGCACCGCTCCTAGAAAAGTACGCAGAGCAATTTCTCAAGGACTTAGGTCCTACCCTTCCCCCCCCCCATGTAAATGGTTGCTCCTAGAAAAGTACGCAGAGCAATTTCTCAAGGACTTAGGTCCTGCCCCTCCCCCCAAAATGTAAATGGTTCCAGCTGGAGGTGGTGGGCTACCGGGTAGATGCTCTGCCTTGGGAGAAGCAGCTAAGGTTTGGATCCCACGTCTGTGAAGGCTGTTTCATCTGGGAAACTTACAGGAGGAAAGCAGAGGCAGGGGCAGGGATGCAGGCACCTCCGAGGATTTCAGGGAAGAGGGGAGTCTCTTCCATTGACCTTGAAGGCCAGCCCTGATCAAGCCAAAGCTCAGGAGGCAAATTACCTCATAGAAGGAGCATGGGTTTGAGGCTTGGGTTCAAATCCCAGCTCTACTACCTATTCGCAAAATAATTTTTGAGAAAATTATTTAATTTCTCTGTTTCCTTATTTTAGAAATGGGATATTAATAATAATGCCAGTAATTCCCCCAGGGCTTTTTGGAATCATTTACAGTATCTAGCATATATGCTAAGTGCTCAGTACATTGTGACTTTTATTGTTGCTGGTAAACTTCCAGGAACATAGAGAAAGGACTGGGCCCTATGGCCTCTTAAGCCTCATCATTTTCTCAATCCAGAAGCAACCAGGAACACCTGAAAACAAAACCAAAACAAGATAGGGTGTGGCCTGTTCCCCTCAAATCGGCCTCACCACCCCCACCCCCTTTAGGCTCCCTAAATCCTGCTTAGTGGTGGCCCATCTGATTCTAGGACCAGTGGCCTCTGGGCTCTCCTGCACAAGGCCACAAAG